GTCCCACCACCCCTCGCGACGGCCCTTGGTCTGTTATAGCGTACTACGTTTAGCTTACGGTGTGTTTGAAGTCGGAATCAAGTCCGAAGTGAACTTTTCAGTGTTTTTCAGTAGTTTTTGTTTTTGTTTAACGTACTTTTGAATCTGCGAATTTTCAATATGCTACGACGAGTATCAAATGTGTGGAAAAATAAGCTCAAAATCGTAATCGCCGTACATAGACGTCCCACAAGGGAGCCTCTCACAATTAAAATAATTTCTAATTATATTTGTTGAATTTTGATCTATTAAAACAAGAACGTAGTAGCCGGTAATTGAATTATAATTCGTCTCAATTACTAACAATTGTAGATCATAACAAATTTGAATATAAACGTTGCATTTGAAACTTTATTATAAGCCAGAAAGTGACATTTTTTTTTAAATTGCGTCATATTTTGCTCATTATATACGATATTCGAAAGGAATTTTGCTCAACAAATAAACAAAGGTGTTTACCCGACCTTTTTTACATTTTATTGCTTTATTATATCTTATATCTGCCCCTTCGGTCTTGTTTAGACAATTTTTTACCACCGTACAATACAAATACCTCTTCCTAGAGTTATTTGTACGGTGTGTTTACCTTTTTTTAGAATGGGACGAACTGTAAATAATTCTTAGGTTACTAGTTTTATACTTACCTATATACAGAGTGACCCAGGCCTTCCAAAAAGCTTTTTACCTATTACGTTTTTGGTTAGTGATTTTTATTTTAATTTTTTACATACGATCGGGGCCATTGTAACGCACATTTTCAAAATATTTTTGTCAACATACAGGGTGATTCAAACCGCAATACATATGCTTAATACAGTTCATGAAGATTGGAACATTTAACTAAAATTTGATTGTCTGATGTAGCTACCTAAGTAATGGATTTGTAAATAAACGTAATATTCATTATTATGCGACAGAAATCCCATATAGTAGCACACAGATTTGATACTTTTAATGATAAATGCCTTCTATTGCGAGACTAAAAGGTAATTGCCTCGTATCAGAGCCATCATAATACGAGAAGAAGACCGAAAGTCAAATCTTGTCTTATATTTTCAAAAAAACACAATTTTCTCATTAAACTTAATATTGATTTTAGGCATAGGAAGTTATTGATAATACAAGATTAAACAACTATTACACAGTACTTCACAGGAAGCTATCGATTGCGAACTAACTAAATCGTTACTAATTACTAATTTTGAAAAGTTCTTTTTAAGATCAAAAAAGGTAAAACTGAAACCTAAACTATCATTTGAGAATAAACGGGAAGTTCTAAATAATGTTGCTTATTCTAAACAAGAAAAATTTATAAGTTTTATAACATCTGTAATTAAATTTGGACAAAAAGAATATTTCTGTTTGCTGTAGGTAATTTTCTCAGGGAAAATACGTAAATAAAAATGACTTTTTAAGTCAAAAAAAGTCAAAAGGACAAGTTATTCCAAAAAAGGACTGTCCTTTTCAAAAAAGGACAGGTGGTAACCCTAGGTATTTCTGGAATAGAAATTTAATGGCAAATCTACAACTTTTGTTTGAAAATGTGTTCCGGCCACCTATATTTACAAAAATATCTAAAATGTGCTTTACCATTGCCTCCATATTCTAAAAAAAATTGAAAGAAAAGTCACCAACCACAAACCTAATATAGAACTGTTTCGGAAGCCTGAGTCACCCTGTAAATATTCAAAAGTAACTGAAAGTTTTTATAGAAGTAACTGAAAGTTTAAATTGAATATCGACGTTGGAGCGATTTTCGAAAACTACCTACTAACGTTTCAACATAAGTATATGTGGGATATCAATTATATTATTATATTAGACCTTATAACAAAACTCATCTAACGAAAAAGTGTTAATGTAGTATATTAATATGGAGTAAAAATTTTACTAATTACTTTACTTTTACTTTACAAATTAAATTCGTTCCAAAAAACGATACGCCACTGGCCATTAGAACAATCCAAATGCGCCTAGTTGCCGGGGTCGGAAATTTTAGACTTCTCTGTCTCTTCTGTCCTTGTTTGACACATTGGAATGTTTCATACACTACCAACGAGTATTTATGAATGAGATGTTCGGTCTATCTTTATAATGTCTTTGTTCTATAGAAAGTTTATATATTTAAGTTTTGTTAAAAATACTCGGAACAATAAAATGGTACAACTTTCTTGTCTTCTTCCAACATCTGCTTCTGCCTGTCAACACTTATATCGTGTATACTATCATGTTCCAGAAGACTGGGGTTGGAAATATATAGATAATACTTTGGAGATAATTAAAACTTTACTCCCACCTGCTCCAGAAAAACTAAGGTAGGTGTATACAATATCGCCAAATATCGCCATGTTGGCAATTTCGCCATGTGTAGTTTGTATTCCTATTTGATAGATAGCGCCACCGATTCTGCCTTAGGGAAGAAATTTGCGACAAACAACGAGTAACGGTTGTTTTATAACCTCAAATTTCATTTTCGTTGTGATTTTACCGGCAAAACATTGTTTAAACCGCCTTCTAAACGTTATTAAAATTTTGTTGATGTTTAACATACGAAATCACTTGGTAAGTAATTTTTTCAATTAAATATCTTATACAGTATGTTTTCAGGTATTTGATTAGGCCTCAGTTTTAATTTTAAAGGTTTTTTTACTTTTTGTAAACAAACAAATTTCTGACCAATATCCCTGATACTTAGACAAGGAAAGAGAAGGGACAGCTAACACGCATATTCTGCAGTGAAAAATTTTTGAGGCCAAAATTTGATCGGCGGCCATACTTTGGTGACAAGATTTCGAGGTGACACCAAGCGAATATTTATGATTTTTGTGAATACTGTTTTGTTTTAAATTTATAAACTGTGTTGTTTAGTATGGTGAAATGTTCAGCGTATAGCTGCAAAGGCCGAAGCGAGAAAAAAGTGGCTGGAATTACATTTGACAGGTAAAAATCGACACACAACTTTTATGTGGTCATAAAATGTACATTTTTTTCATTATAGCAGTAAAAATATGTAAAATGCTTTTAATATGTCTTGTACCACATCCTAACAAAACTATTTTTAATAATTCCAAGTAGTATTTTCAATATCCTGTATTATAATTAATGTTTGAAACTATAAATAATACTACTCAGCATGGATTTCTCCAGTGGCGTAGGGAATTATAATTAGAGAAATACAATTTCTGCAACAAACATTTTTTTACATATTTTATATGTAAAAAAATGTATAAAGTGTTGTTATCAAATAGTAAAATAATTGTAAACTATAAAAAAAATGAAAAATTCTAGTGATAAAAAATCTATATGTATAGTTGTTATATAAAACTTAAATTTACCTGCCAAGATTTGCTAGGGGTGGACAAACTTGTGGTGGGATACTTGTTCCTATTTTTTTTAAATATTCTTTCAAAAAATTTGCTAATTTAGGTGTATAATAACAGTTTCAGTAAGTAATTAATAAAAATTTAAAAATAAATAAAATAACACAGAGCTTCTAGAATTGTTTATTTTTTTTGTGGAAAATTAGAATATTCTTATGATTGAAGGTAACAAATATTAAAAATTACATTATTCATTGAATCCGTACGCAAGTGTGAAGGGGATTGGCTAGATTCATTATATTATACCGTATGATCGAAAAAAAAACGACGTCCATTTGGCTTGTAAATGACGATCGACGACATTCCCCATATAATTTACATATAAAATGACAGCGATCTTCATTTCATAGCCATCGCTGACGCCGTCTTTTTTCGATGTCGTTTTGTATAGTTTTTATGTCATTTTATATGTAGAATTATATGGGGAATATCATCGATCGTAATTTACAAGCCAACTGGACGTCGTTTTTTTTCGATTATACGGTATAATAATGAATCTAGTCAATTCCTTTCACACTTGCTTACGGATTCAATGAATAATGTAATTTTTAATATTCATTTGTGAAATTGTCATTTCCAAACAAACAAGACGCCGTTTTTTCGATCATACAGTATATATGTATATACACGTTTAAAACATATGGTATTACATTATTTTTTATTTAATTATACATTATACACACGTTAATAAATAAATAATTGTCTTGATAATCAGTCCACTATGACTGTTAAATACATTTTGCATTATCGACTTAGATATTCTAATATTATAAAGGTGTGACTATAAAATACAAAATTGTATATGCATTACTAAAAAATGAAAGATATATTAGTTTACGTTTTAATAAATATTTTGTACCGTCTAGGTACAAGCTAATATCTGATGCTACGCCATTGGAGAATTTCGCGTGGTGACAACTTGCCTCACTTTCAGCTGCCGTGTTACCTGTCCCCTCTCTTTCCTTGTCTAAGGAAAAGGTTGTTTCCATTTAAAAGCGTCGAATTTGACCCACCCTGTACATTTCGCACTAAACGTGAAAAGAACAATGTTCGACTGCAAAGTCTGCTAGTAAACATTTTCAAGCTTAAAGTATCGGAGTGTCATAATACAATTTATTTAAACCAGAAACTCGTAATACAAAACTAAAGTGTCAAAACGAATGACAAGTCAGGAAATAAATAAATAAATGCGGCAACTTGACATTTTTTTTTATTTAATTTTTCAAGGTCGATTGTACGATAATGTACGATACTTTTTAACGGTTGCAACGATAATTCTCTATCTGACAGCTAACGACACTAGTTAGGGTGCAGCCACACTATCCTAAAACCGGCGTATCGGCGTAACGGCGTAATGACCTTGAATAGATTTCCAGTAATTCTATTGGCTGAAACATTCATCTGTCAGAAATTTTATCTGTCAAAAATTTCAGCCAATAGAATTACTGGAAATCGATTCAAGGTCGTTACGCCGTTACGCCGATACGCCGTTTTTAGGATAGTGTGGCTGCACCCTCAGTCTGGCAACGCGCATTCTGTGCAACTGGCAACTGGCAACTCTGTCAGCATTTTTCTCGGGGATCCCGCCACGACGCGCCCTAACTGCAATTTCCAACTCTTCTGAATTTGTTGTCGGCTGTTTTTAATCTTTCCGTAGTTTTGTGAATATTCGAAAACAAAATCTATCGATACCTTTTATTCTTTTTTTGCTCCAGTCGGTTTGATTAGAACGATACTTTTAGAAATAACCAGTTTATCCTGTTGGTTAGGTTAGATTTAGATTAGTGATTGAATTTGATTAGCAATTAGTACATTGGAGTGCTATAAAAAAATATGGTAAGTTTTTTTTATTATATTGCTATTAAATTTGTTGATATAATATATAGGTACCAATGTAATTAAAGAAAAAGACAGAAACAGCAACATTTTTATTAAGCTTTTTGTAACTCATATTTTTGACTATAGACTTAGATTAGGAATATTATAATACTACAGAAAAACATAATATTAAGGGGCACACATTATTTTATCTTTAATAGTCGGTAAAGGTGTGGATCCGGTGGCTGACCTTGAGGCCCATATTTGCTGCATTTGATCATCGATACTACGCAAGCGCACATCGTCGATGTTGCCAAATTGCAGTTTATTTTGGAATTATTTGCAGTTGAAAATTTTTTTTGAGTGTTAATCAATAATAATACAAATTCTATAATTAATTTTATAATTTCAGATTTATCTGGATATCCAAAACTAAGGTAAGAAAGATAATGAAAATTGTGAAATGAAGGTATTATGAATATATAAAATTGTAATAATAACATTTATTTATATATTTACATCAGAATTAAAAATTATCATTTACGGATTTTATCTTAATGGTTTTAAACTTACTAGAATTATTTTATTTCTTTCAAGTTATTTAATTTCTAGTTATTTACAGGCAACAATAGTTTTGATTATATGTATTGATGTATTGAAGTACTACCATGACGAGTCTTATAGAACAATACACGATAGAGGTAACATTTTACCTATAATGTTACTAATATAATATACCGTATGATCGAATAAAAACGGCGTCAACGATGGCTATGAAATGAAAATCGCTGTCATTTTATATGTAAAATTATATGGGAAATGTCATCGATCGTCATTTCCAAGCCAACTGGACGCCGTTTTTTTTCGATCATACGGTACTTTGATTATAATGTTTGTATCAGAATTTCTTAAAAATATCAAGTTAGTGGATTAATAGCAATTTTAGACATATATTTTATCGAAGAGTGTGTTGATAAGACTAAAATAAGCTTTAAGTTTTATCTTTTTCTCTTTAGAAGGGAGATGGTTTTTGTTTCGTAGAATACATTACAGTATTTAATATCGTCTACTTTGATATTCTTTTCTTAATTTACTGTAATTTCTTGTTTCCTATAATGCCAAATCTTGACAATATGGTGAAGGTTTAGTTTTGATTTTATTAGTTTTATACCTGTGTTTATACAAGACCAAATTAAGACAGTTAGTTTGTGATCTATATTAAGATCTTTCTTATAATATTTGTTATGTCTTAATCTGAATACTATATTATGCTTTGTCTGGAAAATAAATGTTAAAATATCTTAATTTTGCATATCCTATTCCATCCTTCCATTAGGAAAAATATGGTCTGTAAATCATACATGCTAAGAAAATCACATAAATTAGGTGTAAGAATAGAGAAATCTTAAGGTAGCAGAAAAATTAGTGCATAATATACATAAGCAGAATTAAACAAGGTAATTGTTAATGTTGCTGAAGCTGATTCTACAATTTTAATTACGGAGGCTAAAAGGCCTTTTAAGGCCTCCGTAGTTTTGATGGAATGTTAAAAAAAACTATTATGAACATGAAATTGAGCTACAGCATTTAAAAAAACCTGGACACATCCCTCTTTTAATTTCTCGAATTTTTAATAAAGCCCTTTTTAAACGTAGCATAATAATCTAGAGCAATTAGATTAATTATAGAAATCTAGAGTTTTATTTCTATTTAATTTTATTGACTATGAAAATACATAATAAACGTTCACGTGTTGTGCGAAATATTAAAATAATAATATAAATAATATACCGCGTACTATGACTGAAAAAAATAGCGTCAGCGATGACTATGAAATGAAGATCGCTGTCATTTTATATGGGAAATGTCCTCAATCGTCATTTCCCAGCTAACTGGACGCCGTTTTTTCGATTATAAGGTATATATGACAAAAAAACACTGAAAGGCACATATTTGTTTTCTACTGAAAATAATTCCAAAATAACTTGCAAATTGGCAACATCAAAGATGTGCGCATGCGTAGTATCTGTGGCTATATACAGCAAAAACTCGTTTCAAGGTCAGCCACCGGATCCACACCATTACCTAATAGTCTTTTTTATTGGGGTTGTATCGTTGTATGACGAATTTCCTATAAAAAATTATTGGTATTTGGGAATTTGGGCTCGGAGTTACAACTAGGGATGGCCATTTTTCCAAAGCATCGATACTAGTAAAAATCGACATGGCAAATATCCATATACAGGGTGATTCAGAGAGCTCATTACCAGTGTTCCTATCGCTTATTTTTTATTTTTATTTCTGATTTTTTTTATAATATTGTATCTGCGTGTGTTAATAACGTGCATTTTAAAAATATGGTAATTATTGGGAAAACTGGAAATCGTCCGATTTTCACCAAAAAATTGGTATACACCCTATTTTTAGGTCGTAGATTACGATTCAGAAAAACGAAAAAATATTTCAACATCGAATTTTTCTTAATTTCTCATATTTTTAAGGTTTTCTAGCACGTATTTTGTTAGGTATTCAATAAACAATGATGTTTTTGCTATTTTCTGTTACTTTTTTAACCAATTCTATGCATAATAGAGGAAATTTTGCTAAAATAAATTTGTAAACAATCTGAAAATGTTGGGTTATGTGTTTCTGGCATTTAAAGCAACGTTGCCAATGCTAAACCTACATTTAGCGTGTTTTTTCGCTCATTCTGGGATCACGAAAGGCGTTCGCCAAAAGAACGGCTCCTTCCCTTAACTGCTATTTTACCAACGAGATCTGACTATTCATAACCACGAAGTTGCACGAAAGAGTTTTGATTGCATTGGTTACAACTTCCATGTGGAGGGTGTTAATCTTTTGTTGTTATATTATACCAAAAAAAGATTAACCCCCTCCGCAAAGAAGTTGAAACCAATGCAATCAAAACTCTTTCGTGCAACTTTGTGGTTATAAATAGTCTTTATATAACTCCTTTGCGGAGGGGGTTAATTTTTTTTTTCATATAATATAACAACAAAAGATTAACACACCCTCCGCATAGAAGTTGAAACCAATACAATCAAAACTCTTCCGCGTAACTTTATGGATATAGGTACCGGTATGATCGAATAAAAACGGCGTCAGCGATGGCTATGAAATGAAGATCATCGTATATGTAAAATTATATGGGAAATGTCATCGATCGTCATTCCATAGCCATCCCTGACGCCGTTTTTATTCGATCATACGGTAATCACCCGAAAAAGTAGAAGGTATGGCAACGTTGTAAATTTTCAAATTTCTAGATTAGGTCTAGAATATATTTGTCTCTCTCATTACGTAGGAGAGAGAAAGAAGGATATATGAAATGTCAAACTTCCATCTGGTCTCAATTTTCTTTGTTATTTTCTTAAGAAAGGTGTTTTTCAGTAAAATTTTGGACATTTTTCTATCCTCAATCAACTGTGGCTTTTAGATAAACTATAATATAATGAAAATGTAGTGAAATTATTACTATATAGGGCCGAAATAAAGAAAAATTCAATGTTGAAATTATTTTCCGTTTTTCTGAAAAACGGTAAGAGACCGTCAAGAAAAAAGTTCAGATTTGTAATCTGCGACTTCAAAATAGGGTGTAGACCAATTTTGGTGGAAATCGGACGATTTCCAGTTTCCCAATAATTACCAAAAATATTATCATAGAAACACATGGTGATTAAATACATGGTGGCCCATCGAAAACGTTCCGTAAGGCATAACGGCCAGGGTAATTTTTTTTTTTCAGAAAATTCAAAAACACGTCAATTTTGTTTGTGAGGGGGGCAACTTTTGCCCCAAAATTGATTGCAAAATCTTCAACCCTCTAAGCGGGGGTGTCATCCCCCAATTTTTTTCAAATGGGAAGGGGGTCAAGTGGTACCGCAATGAAAAGAACTTTCTATTCTCTATATTTTCCCATTTCGTTTTTGAAAATCGGTCGAGTCATTGAGAAAATATGAAGGATTGAAATTTGAAAAGTTTATTTAAACATTTATCAGAGTAAATGATAAGGATAAATTCTTTGGACCATTTTGCTGTTTTTTCTTGTTATTTCTAGATGTTTACACATTTTTTCACTTGCCACAAGGTTGAACGATCAGATGCGGTAGTTGCTAGATAGCTGTTCTGTGATTTGTGCGTTGAAGTTCTTGTCAATATCGTTAAACTTTTTAGCAATTATGGTGTACTCACTTGCATAAAAAGTGGAAATAATCGAACTTTATTTTAAAAATAATGAATGTATCGGGTTGCGCAGATATTTAATGAGGGCCATCCTGACAAACACCTTTATGGCAAAATTGGTCGCTAGTTAGTAGCAAAATTTTGCGAAACTGGTTCCGTTATGAATAAAAAGAGGCAGAGGGAAATTCCTGTAGTAAATGAAGCTATGGAGGTATTCATATTGGGCCAAGTTGCCGTGGATAGTACGCTGAGTACAATTAGCCAATGAGACCGGCGTGAATCGTACAAGTGTCCAAAGGAAAAAAACACAAGTTCCACCCTTACAAAATTCAGTTGGTACAAGAACTCAACGAAGACGATTTTGACTGTCGCTTGCAATTTTGTGAAACTATGAATGAACGAGTGGCGAATGATAATAATTTCCTATTTAATGTGTGTTTTTCGGATGAGTGTACTTTCTTTTTGAACGGTGTAGTTAATCGGCACAACTGTCGGTACTGGGCCAAGGACAACCCCAGGGTTTTTCACGAGGTGCACACACAAAACCCTCAGAAATTGAACGTGTGGGCTGGCATTTTTGGAAATTCTATTGTGGGTCAGTTTAACGATATGGAGAAGAACTTCAACGTACAAGTCACAGAACAGCTATCTAGCAACTACCGCACCTGATCGTTCAACCTTGCGGCAAGTAAAAAAAAATGCGTAACCATCTAGAAATAATAAGAAAAAACAACAAATTGGTCGAAGGAATTTATCCTTATCATTTACTCTGATAAATGTTTAAATAAACTTTTTAAATTTCAATCCTTCATATT